GGAGGTTTAAGGTATTTGCTCATCACTCCCCAATATCCCTATGTAAACATATCTGCGGGGAATTATGAGGTCAGAGCCTAAAGCGCAAATCTAAATACGCTATACTGCTGTAATAAACATTTCAAATGTGAGTTGTCTGACTGAACTGGGTCAGAAAGTACGAAAAGAGTTCATGCACCCAAATCTATCAAAATGCTATTAAATTATATTTTTCCAGTTTCTTTGTTTAGCACATGAGAAGAAAATATTTTTGGTTATGCGCTCTTCAGTGAGAACTAATGCACTAATGCAAACATTTGCTACATTCACTGCAGCTCTCTTTTTAAAAAAAAGCTTAATTATTATGATTTCTGAGTTCAGTACAAGTTTATCAAAATAAACAAGTCTCACAACTCTCGTCCAGTACACCATGCTTCATTAATTTTGATGGACTTGAATTGTAGCTAACTGTAGTCTTTACTTTACTGTGTGTGTGTGTGCGTGTTCTCAGAATTACACACTATTTTTAGTCTATAAAATCAGCATGAGAAATGTGTTGTTACATAGTCAAGGTCAAGTGTCAGCCACCACTACACCTTTTATTTAGATTTATATATATTTATATATATATATTTCCATTTGTCTATATTCTACATGGTTCTGAGTTGAGCACTGCTTTTCTGAGTGGCAAGAAATGCTGCTCTTGTCAAGCCCATTGGAGAGCAATAGCTCACACAGACAGCAAGTTCTTTTTAGATGTGATACTTCTGTAGCTGCTTAAGAGAACATGCTGGATTCTGTAATGTCCTAAGAAGGGATTTTCAAATATTTAATAGGGTTTTCCAAATTGCTTTAAGCTTACCCTGAAAATCACACATGCAAAACATGCACACAACCACATGAAACAGTGAGAGAGTAAGAGAGAGAGAGAGTGGGAGCGAGAGTGACAGACAGGCTTTTATGCTTGCTCTGCAGTCTTAGCTGGATTTCATATAATCCTGTGCAGGTCATGATCTTCCACTGGGAAATTCTCTGAAATCACTTCTTTTAATTACTTACTTCCCACGCCTGCTGCTGCTGCTGCTCTTGCAGGCTGACTATACAGACACTGGACGGGATTTAGACAGCAAAAACACCACTTCCACCACCGGCACTACACTAATTGTCTCATTATTATTGCTGAACTCTCTTCTCTGTTGTCATCACCATCATCCTCATTGTGAGTCCCCTAGAAATATTGATCTACATTGCTTCATGTGTGCACTTACTTACCAATAGGCAGTGGCGGGATGAGTGCTGGCATGCCATAATAGGAAAACGCTCCATTTTCAAAGCGGAGAGCCTCCTTTCCGATCTCTACCTCCACCCGTCCCTGCAATGTCAACACAGCCATTTACATGCATTAGATCTGTGCTCTATGCTCGTGGTGTGACACTGAATTGATTACTCATCTAATGGAGCCTCTGATACAGGAAATATGCAAGAAGGACACTGTAACAATATCATGTAAGTGACTATTGCTTGGTTTCAAAATTCATATACATTAGTGTTAATTAAAATAAGTATTTTGCTTAAAAAGCAGCAGCAGAGTTTGGGATTTACCTGCAGAATAAGGACAAAGTAGTCGACAGGTTTGTTTCTCTGGAAGAGGTAGTGTTGAGGAGCGTGTTTGTTCTTGGGGTTGAACTTGAGCTCCTGCACAATGCTGGGATGTTTGATGAGACGCAGCAAGATCTTCTCCGACAGGTGACAGGGCCTGAAAGGCTCCACCTCTACGAGATAGATGTATATAGACACACACGCACAAGGACACACCAAAACAAGAGTCAAAGGAAGAACACAGTGTTCCCTGTCACATGTCCTTTTCCTCATTTGATCCTGTCATCCACTGTGTGCACCTCCAAATACTCTGCATACAGTACATACACACATGCAGAAACACAAACATCCAACGCTACCTGTAGCCAAGAAGCGGTGTGTTGCGAGCAACAGCTGGGGTGAGATCTTCACCTTCAGCTCATTTTCAGACAGTTTGAAGATAGAGAAATCCTGCTGTTTCCTCTCATGGTTGGATACTCGCCTTTTGTTCCGATTATCAGCTATGAACACACACAGATTGCAAATCATATAAAGTGCACGGAAGGTATACAGTGTAGATTTCACATTGTATATGTGCTCTGATAACAGCTGAGGAAGGGGAAAGGTGTTGCTAGATATACCACATAAGTACAGTTTTCTTGTTGGCACTGCTAGGAATTAGCAACTATTTAGAGGTGCCACTGAACTAATTAGTTGATGCAGCTTTATATGCTGCATAGTAACAAACACTACAGATTTATAGACATGATTTCTCTTAGTAAGTGTATCTACAGTTGCAAATAGCTTAAGATTATCCAGTACTGTGTAAACACACCTCTGATTGATAAAATGACTTATCCTCTGCTCTGCAGATGTATTAAATATTATATTCCATTAAATACAGCAGGAACAGCTGGCGCTATAAATGCCTGAAGTGCTAAGTCTGGAGAGATTAGCTCCCCTGTGCTATACACACACACACACACACACATAATTATGCACCAGCAGACAGAAGAAACACACAAAGTGCACCCATGACATACTGCTTCACATATTCTGCATGTGATTAAAATTGCAGCACACTTGAAAAGTTTATGTTCATTTCTTCTGGGAGGAGGAATTTTTGTGGAAGCGTGTAATAAAAAGTTATTTTTCCCTAATTGTAGCATGCAAATATTACAATTCAGTGAGTGAAAAGATTAGATTAGATATGAAATGAAGGGAGTTTGGCATTTGAATGCTTCTCTGTGGAGAGCCTTTCCAGCCAATTAAAGATGAGCGGATTATGGTGATTATCTGTGAGACTGGGCTATTTATTCACATTATTTAATTATGCATCAGCAAGGAGCTGCGAACAACAGGGGGGAGAAGGTGGGATCAATAGTTTAATGAGAATATAAGGAGGGCAGATGGCAGAAGAAAGGAAATAACAATGTAATATTAATGCAAAAATGCTACTTGTTACATCCCTAAATATTGATATGTACTATGTTGTTCAAAATGAGCATTTTCCAGTGATGTTGTGAACCACAGAGCTGAACAAACTCAGCTGCTGTGACAAACTGAGAGAAAATCTATTCAGGGTGGGAGCTGGAAATATAATAAAATTGATTCACAGCCAATGCAACAGTGACTTTGAAAACTCAGACCTTTAATAATCAGTGTGTTTATGCATCATACGTACTATACAGGTCTGTCTCATCCACAATCTCAGACTTGATGATCTCCTCTATGACGTCCTCCAGGGTGACGATGCCCATCACTTCATAGAAGGGGTCTCCCTCCCCTTCGCTGTTCACCCTCTGCACCACAGCCAGGTGGGACTTACCTGCATTCATCAGAAAGGAAAAGAGGTGAGTCAAAATGTGAGTTTACCCTAAAAACCACTCATGCCATGGGCTTGAGAGGCAACGTCATAGGATAAAAATAACACGAGTCAACAGCCTCCAACAGCATCTGTCCAGTCAAGATGAAAATCAGCATTAAAACACCAACTGGAGCTGAGAGACCATAAACACATAAGAGAGCACTAACTTAGAGCTTCAGTATAAAATGATTTCAATGTCAGGACTGCCCCTCGTGTGTGTGTGTGTGTGACTCCAACGATGAGGCAAGTGGACACTGGGGGATTAGTCTGGAGACTTTGACAGTTAGGAAGACTTGGTCCTTACGTAAACACTGAGATTACGCAATCAGTCTGGGGATGCCTGCATCTGCTGACAAAACTGCCCATGCTGCTGCCACCTCTGTAAAAAAGAAAACAACACACACAGACCCAACACACACAGACACAACACATACACACTTTACACATCACATGAGCAGACCCAGAGCTCCCACTCAGGAATGGTTTGGCTGAACATGACAAGCCTGCTAGATACAATGACACAGCTCGCCAACAGCATCTCCGGAGTGAGTAAATAAAGCCGATGTGACAAGCAGTTAAAGTTGCCACCAAACTCCAACAACACAAGGAGAAGAACAGGGAAAAAAAACATGAACAGCACAAACTAGTTGTTACATATTGTTTTGTTTTTTTCCTTTTAACCCACCAAAAACGCAGATATTTTAGAAATCAGTTACTATTCTGTATTTTGGCTTTAACATCATAACCATCACTGTCATGGTTCATCTTACGCCAACACGTAAGTCTGTTGGTGACCCTTAAAGTTATCTAACCAAATTTATGATGTCACTAGAACACAGCTTTCAACATAAAAAAATAAACAGGTCTCCGACCTCGCTTCGAACAAAATCAGTGGCTCATGTGAGATGGGCCGATTTAGGGCATCACTGCCAAGGGATAAAATGGATCAAATGCTTTAATCCACTGCAACAAGAGAAAAAAAAATCCTGATTGACTGACAGGCAGCCATCTCCAAACACGAGACTCACGTCTGTGTGAGATTGGCTGAAATGGCGAGGTTGTACTCGGTGCTCAGGTCAACTTGTCTGAAGAGCTCAGGTGAGTCAGAGGGGGATTTTGCCATCAGCTGCTTATGTGCCCGGGCACTGCATTACATCATTCATATGTTACATAATACTCTTGCAGAATAACACACACACACACACACACACACACACACACTTAACCAGACTCACACACACACACGCCTAAGGCAAAACTGGGTCTACCATGGATGTCCCTTTTGCAAATGTTTCTGCTCCGCCAGTTTCCCAGGCTCCTCCAGTCTCTGTTTGAACTCCATGTGTTGTTCTAGTTCATGCATAATGTGTTGGCAGTATGATTGTGCATTATGTGTATATTTGCTGTCTGTTTTAAGCAAACATTATAGCCATACAGTACTACAGAAATAATGCATCGTTTAGTTCTCTGCAGCATGTTTTCTCTGTTTTACATACATGCACACATTTAGTATATAAAAATCATAATGGCTATTGTGTATATTGTTTATTGTATTAAATTTGTTTCTTTAGTAGAATTGTATGCAGTGGTAGACGGTAACTAAATAGATCTACTCAAATACTGCACTTAAGAAAAATTTTGAGGTACTTGTACTTGTAATCATATACTTCTACTCCTCTACATTTCAGGTAAAAATGTTGTACTTTTTACTCCACTATAATTAATGAACTCCTGTAGCTGGGTCATTCTGCCAAACTTCAAGTATTTTAAGTATGTTTTGTAGATAATACTTCAGTTTACTTGTAATGAAATTATTTCTACTTTTCTACTTTTAATTACCTAAATACCTCTTCCACCACTGATGGAATATCTCACCCAGTAAATTAAAAGATTTACAGCAGGGTTTGCGTTGCTCATTAAAATGTCATGCAATGAAAGCATAAATGCATAAAGTAAAGAGCAAAGCTTGTTTTATGAAAGCTAAAATAAAGATTTTTGCATATGTTTTTTATAACTGCACAGTATTTCTGCAGTTCTAACATTACTGGTGACATTTTCCTCTTTTCCTCCAACACAGATGTCACCCCAGCCCATCACCCTTCTCAGTGAGACATCCTCACAGCTTCCTGCCAGGCTTCCTGAACAGTAGGAGCCTTTAATCCATGAGAGTAAAGAAGGAAGGAGGAGAGAGAGAGAGAGAGAGAGAGAGAGGGAGGAAGGGAAAGGTTGGAGCTGAATTTTTCATGGTTGCTCTGCAGGCTTGGATGGCGATGACCTACAGAGTGGAGGAAGCTTCAATGCGGGCTGACAATTAGATGCACACAAATAATCTAAAGGTGAAGTTCACATTTTCACCTAACCTTATTTATAGATAACACACAATAAAGAAAGACACACAGACACAGGGTCAGACCTGAGCCCATGGATCACTTGTGTCAGACCAAAGCTATCCTTCATAATCCTGCACAAAATAAAGCAGTGGACCTCCTGACCTGTAAGTGGCAATCTAATTTAGTCACCACTGTGTCCCCTTTCACATTCTGATCGGTCAACTGCTGCTGACATCTATCAAGCTCTCTTTGTCAATGAAACAGATTTACATCTTAATCCCCACAACATAAGCCAATGCCAATAAAATCCTTACATAACAGCCGTTCCAGTAACATCTCATATGTCTCCATTTTAACTTGTGACACTGTCAGGGGGAGCAGTATGAGCTGCTACACAGCATCGATTCACTGTCACACTCAATGCTATCATCAAGACTCCCCGGAGAGAGGCGACACACTTTTGCTTGGTAGTGGAGAGATGCTATCGCTGCGTGTGTATGAGAGACTGAGTGCTGTGATACTGTGAATGCATTTATCAGCAAAGATGCTTATCAAACAAAAGAGGTGTGAGTCAGAGAGATATTCACTGCCTCCACTGCCAATGCAGTGGCGGTAAATGCCTCTACTCTTGCTAAATTCCTTTTTAAACAGTTCAACACTTGTGTACATCTGATAACTGACACACATGGCATGATGGAGAGAGGGGAAACAAGCAGGGGCGGTGGGGGGCAGATAAAGTTCACAGTGCTGTTGTCATGGGAAAATGACTTTCACTACATAAATTCTTAAGATAACCCCATTCTGGTTCTGTAGCCTCTAACCTCTGGCTGAACCACACTCACTGTGTGACACTGTATCAGATTTCACATATGGCTCTCACTTCTCTGGGGATCAAAGAGCTTTACTGGCAGGCACACTGTGAGCCAATGGACTGATGTATAGACTGACTTATGCACTGAAAACTTTTAAGTGCACAGTCACTTCAAAGGACATTTAGCTGCTAGGTGGCAGGAGGTAGCCTTGAGACTGTTCAAAAACATTTAATGGCGCCTCACACGCTCAACATGGGCTTCTCACTCATAAGTTACTTATAAGTTCTGGACATGGTGGTTACCTCTCTTAAATTCTTCCAGCATCACATCCAGCTTGGTGTCATTGAACACGCAGTGCATGGGATGCTTGTAAAACTGAGTAATTGTTTTCAGAGGAGTGCAATCGTCAGGATCCACGAAGGCCAAGTCTTTGACAAACAGGATGTCCACAATGTTGGATCTCTCGTTCTCGTAGACCGGGATCCGGGTGAAACCGCTCTGCATCACGTCAGACATGGTGCAGAAATCCAGCACAGCGTCCGAGGACAGCATGTAGCAGTCTGACAGCGGGGTCAGCACGTCTTCTACGGTCTTGGTCCTCAGCTCCAGGGCTCCCTGGATAATGTTGAGCTCCTCTTTGACCAGGTCGTGGTACGGGTCGGTGACGCGAAGCATGGCCACCAACTTCTCCCTGGTGTAAAAGTTGCTGATCTCTTGGTGCAGCATTATGTCCAGAATCTTGGAGACTGGGTAGGCGATGGGGAAAAACACCAGCATCAGCAGGCGGGTCGCGCAGAGGGTCTTTGAGGCGATGGCTAAACTGTGCCTGGACGCCACGGAGTGAGGTAAAATCTCGCCAATAAAGAATATCCCCAAAGTACACGAGGCAGTTGAGAGAGCAGTCATGCCTAAAATCTGGCACATCCACACCACAAAGCAGGTATTTGTAAGCACATTCCCCAGCACCACAGTGCAAAGGATGTAGTTTCCATGTTTACGCACTGACTCTATTTTCCGTGCGTATTTCTGCTCCTTCTCTGTGCCACTGTTCTGCAGGACCCGCAGCTCCACGGGGTCCAGAGCCAGCATGCTGATGTTCAGACCGCTGCAGAGCGCGGACAGCCCCAGCAAGAGCACCGAGACACCCGCCTGGAGCCAAACATCTGCCTCTGGAGGTCTCTCCACCACCGCCAACCAGAAGTCTTTGGTGCTAAAATGCTCCCATTTTACTCCATCGAACGCGCACATGGAGTAGTATTTGATCACCTCGCCTCTGCGCAGGTCTTTTGCCAGCAGCTCCACCAAAACTGAGTTCTGACTTGAGGTGGATCTGAAAGAGCCCAGCAGCTCGATGTCAGAGCTCCGGGCATTTTCCTCTTCACACAGATTCCCTGTGGACCGGAGCCGCCTCTCCGCCTCCCCGCTGTCCTCACCTGGTTCTTCTATAAACGCGATCCACGGAGCGGCGTCAGGTCTGCCGCTGATGTTCAGGCTGTTGGGATGCTCCGTAGCTGGAGATGCGGAGTAGTAAACCCTCAGCATGAAGCGGGTCCCCTCGGTCGCCCTCAGTATCCCATCCTGCACGGACAGCTCTCCGCTCTGGGTGTCTTCTGGCCGGACGCCGAGCAGCGCTGCTGTCGGGGCCGGCAGAGAGGAGAGTGTGACGGTAAGAAAGAGGAGAGAGAACCGGCGCGGATGCAAGATGCAGCAGAGAGCATCCGCAGCATCCGCAGCCATCATGCTGAATGAACTACTGAAGGACATGGGAGAACTGGGTCACGTGGCTTGCGGATGGGATGGATGGAGCAGCTGGGTGGCCATATCCATGAAGAAGAGGATGGGTATGTTAGAGAGAGAGAGAGAGA